TGTAAGGCAATCCATCTACGTCCTGAGGACCTCGCTGCCACCGTCCAAGCGTGCTTGGCCCCGGCAGATGAACCTCAGGATTAAAGGGTGGGCTCAGTTCCGCGCACACTGTGTCTCACCTAAAAAATCCAATGCGCAGGCTGGAAGGTGGAAAGACCTTCCCCGGTTCTTCGTTCGCGAAGAGACTGGCCATCAATTACAGTCTTAGACTCTGGTGGGGAGAATGAAGTGAATTGAGGAGACAAATAGAGCTGTTTCAGTTACAAATGTGACCTTCTGAATTTTTAAGAATGTGGTGGGGAAGGTATGGATGCTTTACAGCTGTACCATCAGCAAGTCCTGGAGGATGGATTATTTCTTCAGGTTTCTGTTCAGTTCATCTTTGAACACATTCATGGTAGCTGAATTCCAGCGCAAATGTACTGCACTTAAACACAGCATTGTTTTTGCTTTGGAAATACTTGTCTTTTTCAGTCAGCCAAAGATGCTGTGGTTGCTTATGAAACTAGTTTTGAATTTAAAGTTCAGGCTTTAGGGACTCTGCTGATGGTTTATGTTGTGGCTTTTTGTTTGCTTTTGATAGATTTTAAGTCATGCACTAAATACTCATAAGTAATGTAAGTTTAGATCTGATACCATCCTCAGTTCTGTTGTTTAAAATTCAAAGGAGATGAGTGCAAAAATATCTGTGTCCCAAGTAGGTGTCTTTTCTGAAGCTACCTTTGATAATGTGCAGAAATTTTGTAGACATGGAGAATAATGTGGTGGGATATTCCATGGCCTTGAGAAACTTTGTAATGCTGTTGATGCTGTATACAAGTTAACTTTTCTGTCTTTTGCTTTGTTACTTGACAGTGTTGAGCTCTTTTGCAGGATACAGTCATTCCCTCTTGAAATTGACTGTTTTATGCAAAGTTAAAGTAAATATTACTGACTTATAGAGGAGTTAAAATATTCTTACAAGTTTTTTGCTCATAAGTTTTTGGCATGTTGTTTTCATATTTATTGTTTTAGGACCTTAGATGGTGGCAGTCTGTTCTTAAACAGATGTAAGGCTGACAAAGAGCTAGGAACTCGAACATTTTGTGATATGGCTTAGCAAAGATTGTTGCCCTAGGATAAATTATATTCTCTTCTTCCAGCCTAGCTAAACCATACTTAATATCCAATATTTATCAGTTTAAAATAAAAAAGCAAACTTTCCATTCAGTGAAGGGTACAGGTTATGTATTTTAATGGAATTTTTAAATTAAATTATTTCTTAAATGCACCATTTTGATTTAGTTGATCATGTTATTAGGGTTTTTGCATTGAATCATGCAAACTCATACCCAGCACAGAAACTCCACATCTCCTCAATCCTGACTTTTCACTGTCCACATTGCACTTGTTATACCTCTTTCCCCAACAATTCTGTTTGATCTGGAGCCACTGTGCAGTTGCCAGCCATAACCTTCAGGGTAGGTCCTTGTCCAGATGAGGTAGGTAGGTGCCTACCCTGCCAGCACCCTCAGCAGGGGCAGTGTAACTGCTTGACTCCTAATAAACCTTAATTTTTTTTCCTCTCCTTTTTCCTTGTAACTGAGGGGCAGCAGAGCTTGACTGCTTCCAGTGGAGCAGCTGAGGTGAGGAGGGACCTTCATATCTCAACATGGCAGCTCGTGACAGTCTCTGTGGGTGGCAGGAGCTTCCCTGGGTGAGCTGTTCATGGACATCTGCGGGATGTCACTGTGGAAGTCATTTAGTTTCACTTTAGCCAAAACAAATGTGTACTAGCACAAGAATCACAGAGGCTTCTGTTTTATTTGAAAGCTTGTGTAACTGAGAGGAAAAGAATACATTTGAAGAATTTTTTGTACTGTAATAAAAGCATGTGTTTTTGTCCCTTTCTTTCAGCACTGCAAAGTACAACATAATCACATTCCTGCCAAGGTTCCTTTATTCCCAGTTCAGAAGAGCTGCTAATGCGTTTTTTCTTTTTATTGCATTACTTCAGGTAAGATCAACAATAAGATTCTAATGTTTTAAACTTGTGAAGAGAGCATTTATACCACAGACAATGTTTTGCAGAGATACTAAGATTGCTGTACCATTCTGTCCGAGCTAGCTGGCCTCTCAGAATAGCTGTATTGTATAGATGGACCTTTAATAAATGTTTGGGTGTGTGGTTCATTTACTCCTTGCGGATAAAAAAATGCACACAAATATTTTTCTGTAAAACAGGTTAAGTGTAGTTGAAATACTGTCAGGTGAAAAAGTCTGTTGCAACAAGAAAATTCTATTTAAAAATATCTGGCATACACAGAAAAGTGTTGCCATTTCTTCTAATGAAGGGTACTGCCTAAAAACCTGAACTTTGTGAATTTTAATCCTTTTATTCTTAGAGATAAGGATTGAAATTGAGACTGGACAAAGAAACCCATTTGTGGAGTCCAGTACTGTAGCAGCTATTTCCCATATACCAGATGGTCAATATGAAAGTTAGGAGGGAAGTACACAGTCTTTTCTGTACCACCACTGTAGCTTCATTAAGTGTGTTTGTAAAGTGCAATCCCTGATCCAGCTTACTGGGACTTTTTTGAAGAAGTACATAACATTTTGCACACCTATCGGAATATTTTAATTTTGTAGTAGTTCAAGTTGATAAAGTGGACTGTGGTTTTTTCTATATTATTATTTGGATGCATTAGTTGATGATGAATGAAAATTTAACTGTGGTCAGGTGCACTCATAATTACCATTGACTAGTTCTGCATTTCAAATATATTTGATAAAAACACATTTTCTGCATAATTTCTAATGCATTTTTGAGAATGTGTTGGTTTGTTGGTTGTGAAGGTCATTGTGTTAGGGATTGATGTATGAAAAAATATTACTGAAAAATAGTACATAAACTACCATGTGTACTTTTTTCTCCCTCACTTCAGATGTTTCTGTAAGTGAAAGTGCTTTAAGTGCTTGGGGCAGTTTCTTAGGATACATCTGCACAAGTAGCTTACACTGTTTTCTAGGGGGAAAAAGGTTCAGGGTTTCATTAGGTTTTCTGCCTGCAAGCCTGTGGCTTCTAAATAAACGTCTGCTAATCTCATCTGGCATCTCAGGCTAATCCAGTGGTCCAGCAGGGTTCCTTGTGGTACCACTGTGCATCTCAAGCTAATGACACAGAATATGAGGTTTCAGAAACTGTTTGAGGCTTGGCATGACTGGGTGAGAGGCTGGCATGTAGCTGTAGGGAGTGTTAGGAAGTGGAGTGTTAGGACTTCCAAGCCCGCTATGTCGTGTCAGGCTATCAGTGAGACCACAGTGTCGGGAGAAAGGGATATGGGGTGATGGAATCAGGGTACAGGCTGGTGACCCTTTTGCCTTCATATTTTGCATGGAAAATCACACGCGATTAGAAGGGGAGTTCAGACATACATGTAGAGAGGAATGAAGAGATAGGAATAGCTGGAGAAGTGATAGATCCCTTTCCATTGTAGCAAGCACATAGGCACTTACCCAGCAGTAACTTTCTGCCTCATTCCATTCCATAATTCCTTGAAAAATGTGGTCTGGAGCATACAAACATATAACATCCTGTTTTCTTTCAGTAGTACAATGTGGTGATAGCAAAAAGAAATGTATATAACTCATAAGTAACACTGGCTGTTGTTTTGGCCTTTTTATGGTAAATTGAGTATGTCTTCTAGCTGCATTTAGGCACCACTAGTTAGTGAACTCTTTTCTTGTAGAGATCTCATTGTCATCACGCTGTATTACCCGTTATAAGTCTGTTAAGGCAGCAATCCATTCAGCTGTCCATAATATGGATATTTGCCATTAAGAACTCTAGACAGTACAAAAATAATTATAGATAAGCATCCATGTGTATCATATAAGTAGCTGAATTGTCTCATCATTTACTTTATGTATACAGCCACTTGCATCATCTGTGGCCATACCTTCATAGCAAAAATGGTTTTTTTACAGTAGACTGGCAGAAAGCAACTATTTGAAATTTGTCAGTTAATATCTATTATGATACAAAATATGTCATAAGATACTAAAACTGTAAAGAAGCAAATGTACCTGGGACTAGTGTCCACTCTAACATCTAAACTGACAGAATTAGTTGTGTTTTGTAGATAACTATTTTCATTTAATTTGAAGCACAGAAAAGGAAGGTGAATATTCTGCAAACACTAAAACCTCTGGAAATAGCGCCATTGGACACTGTACTATTTAAAATCCAAATGTGATTTTATTGTATCATCTGTTTTTGAATAGAAGGCAGTAAACTTCTCTTGGAAATAGTCAGCACCATGTCTAAAAGTGAATTCTCTTGTCGTTATTTGCTCAGGAAGTGCCGCTGCATGTATTAAAAATATGTTTTCAACCAGCAATGCAAAAAATTTTTTTCTTTCTGTTTTGTTTTTAATAGCAAATACCAGATGTATCACCAACAGGCCGCTACACAACATTGGTTCCTCTTTTATTTATTTTAGCTGTAGCTGCAGTGAAGGAGATAATAGAGGATATTGTAAGTATTTTTTAGCAATATTTTTAAATAGTTTTCATATTTTTCATTTATAATATTGAAGAAATTTTCCTGAATAGTTCTATGTTGACGCATTCTTGCCTTCTGGATGCTTTTGAAAGCTTCTGATGCTACTTATTTCCAAAGATGAAATCTTAGAAATATGGTGTTAGAATTCAGAAGTGTGTTTACTATGTATACAAGTGACAATAGCATGACAAAATAGTGACTGTTGTGTTTATTATATAGATTGTTTCTAGCCAAATAGTTCTTAGTAATGAAGTGCAAGCATATTTTCGAAGTGTGAGCTAGAACCAAAACTCCATAGAACCCAGTCATGTGAAGAATACTGCCTTCAGTATTGGAAGATACTGACTTCATCTCAGGTGGAATCTATTTTAAAAACAAATAACCGTTAAATATTTATTTGGTTAGAAAAATTTTTTTTTCCTTCCTCCATGAGCAAAGTCCTTTACTTCCTCTATTTATACTTTTGAGATGGATTTAAGCTCATTCTGTGAAGGAGATACTACATTAACATTTACAGAATTGTGAGAACTTCTGGCTTTAGGCATTGAAGAAGGTAGGATTAAAAAATCTTTCTGGAATACTTTTTTAAAACTTCAGTTGAGGTGCCTTTCAAAAATGCATGAGCCATCTGGAATTCTGTTGAGGATCTAGGAGGCTGCACAGTCTCAAGCAGCTTCATTTGTCATCCTGGTGACAAGTTTTGACCTTGGCTGGACACCAGGTACCCACCAAAGCCATTCTATCACTCCTCTCTGAAACTGGACAGAGGTGAGAAAATACAGTGAAAGACTCAAGAGCTGAGATAAGGACAGGGAGAGATCACTGAGATCACTGTCCTGGACAAAACAGACTCAATTTGATGAAATTAGTTTAGTTTATTACTAATCAAAATCAAAGCAGGATAATGAGAAGTAAAACAAATCTTAAATACATCTTGTCCCCCACCCTCCCTCCTGGGCAGAATTTTATTCCCAGTTCTTGCCCAGTTCTTCCCTCCTTGCCCCCAGTGGCTCAGGGAGGCAGGGAGTGGGGTTACAGTCGGTCCATCACATGTTGTTTCTGCCAGTTCTTCCTCCTTAAGGAGAGGAGTCCTTCCCCTGTTCCAGCGTGGGGTCCCTCCCAGGGGAGACAATCCTCCACAAACTTCTCCAGCCTGGGTCCTTCCCACAGGCTGCAGTTCTTCACAGACTGCTCCAGCATGGGTCCCTTTCCACAGGGTACAGTCCTTCAGGAAGAGGCTGCTCTGGCGTGGATGCCCCACAGGGTCACAAGGCCATCAGGAAACCTGTGTGAGCTCCTCCCTTGATGGGGCTACAAGGTCCTGCCAGGAGCCTGCTCCAGCGTGGACTTCCTGCGGGGTCACAGCCTTCTTTCAGGCATCCTCCTGCTCTGGCGCAGGTCTCCTCCATGGGCTACAGGTGGATCTCTGCACCCTTGTGGACCTCCATGGGCTGCAGGGGCACAGCACGTGGTCTTCACACAAGCTGCAGGGGAATCTCTGCTCCAGTGTCTGGAGCAGCTCCTCCCCCTCCTTGTGCACTGACCTTGGTTGTTTCATTCCAGTATTTTTACTCCACTCTTCTCTGGCCATAACTACTTCTTCACAAGAACTTTTTTTCGGTTCTTAGATACATTATCTCAGAGGCTTTACTACCACTGTTGATGGGCACAGCCTTGGCCAGTGTCAGGTCTGTCCTGGATCCGGCTGGCATTGGCTCTTTCATCCATGGGGGAAGCTTCTGGCAGCCTCTCACAGAAGCCATCCCTGTAGCCCCACTGCTACCAGAACCTTACCATGTAAAGTCAGTACACTGGATGGCGTTTTGTTTCCCAACAAAGTAATTCCTGGACCAATCTAAAAAGTGTCCTTTAGCTTGCTACTAAATTTACAATGTTTCACTTTATTATGTTTAGAATAAATAGTAACCTATTTGGTTTAATATATTTTGATGAATGAGTACAGGTCACTCGTGTAATTTTTGAAGTTTTAAAAATGGATTTTCCCTAGCTGTCAAATCCAGGTCCAAGCATCTATTTATTTCTAAAGTCAAATGCATAAAATCCTTAGTTTCCCTGTTGTGACTTTGTGTGGTGTTGTAGATAGCAAGGGGAAAAGGCCTGTTCAGTTGTTCCCATTTCTCAGGTTCACTGCAATTTACTGTTAGTCTTTCATGTCTTGGTCTTAAGTGTGATCTGCTGACTCTTAGTGGCCTGGAACAGACACAAAATGTTGGTCCTTGTTAGGCAGGTGCCTCCACCTATGCCAGACTTCCTATACTCTTTCCAGTCGGTGTCTATGGTAGTGATTTTTCCTTGCGTTGAATGAAAACTTTTAAAGATCTGGGACATTGTCAGCATGGAAGTGTTTGTTCTGAATTATTTTGTTTTGAGGCGAGAGAAAGGAATTTCAATCTCTGTTTCACTTTATACAAAAGGTGTTGGGATTTTCTGAGTACCTTCTTGTCCTCTCTCCACAAAAAGCATATGATGGAACCTATCTATCTAACTTGCTTAAAATAATTGAGTCTTTTAGTTGATGTCTTTTGTATCTAAGAAATTAGTCTTGATGATTTGCCAAATCACTCTAGATGCTAAGAATTTCTTTATTAGCTTTTGTTCTGTTTTGTTTGTTTTTTCTGCAGGTATGTTGTGAGGAGGATAATGCATTAGACACATCATAATATGTGAAAGTACCCTGTCCAATAGAGGGATAACGTTCCTGTTTGTGGGCTGTTCTCTTGTGTTTTGGAAAGGGTTGCAGGTAGCATAGTCTTTCCCTGCACACAAATAGTAAGCTCCCTGGGAGCACTGTATTTGTGTTTGAGCAGAATTACAATGTATGGGCAGAAATGTGATCAAGAGGAAGAGAGAGCATTGAGCTGGAAAGGAGGTTTGGAATGGAGAGTGGCTGGTTCACATGCTGCCTTTCTTGCTGATACAGTCCACTCAGTCTTTTCCTCAGTTACCTCTATGAACTGATGGTAGGCGAGGTACAGACCCCTGGGTTCTATCAAGCTCCTGGGTCACAGAGTTGAGTGGTCCTGCAAGACGCAATGAGGTTTCCATGAAATATTTTTCTTCTATTTGGAATTTCTAGTTTTTGCTCTCCTGTAGTAACCTTCTCCTTAAATACCTTTGTTGCTTTCTCTTTTCATAAACAAAACCCCTTTTGGAAAAAAGGCATAAAATGAATTCATGTTATTTCATATATTTTTAACCATTCTGCTGTTAATGCTTACAGACTTATACCATCTGTCAGTGTCTAGGCAAATATAAAACTGAGGCTGTTGCTCCTGTACAAAGTGTCCGTTTTAAAATTATCTCATCCAGTCACTTTTCTTTTGTCGTTTATTTTTACCATTTGCTCTTTGCAACATGAAGTGTTTGGCTTGGTGTGGGGAGTAAGACAGGGATAAGGATTAGTGGGTTTTGCATATATCAGCTAAACCAATAAAGTTCTCATTGCCAAATGCTATAGAGATAATTAAGAGCAATACAGCTTTACTGTTTTTTCCTGGGAAAGCTGACCACTTGCTGCATAGTAAAAAAGAAAAAATATTCATTGTTTTCCCTTAAGCTTTACTTTTCATTATCTCTGTGTTTCTTTGCACAATGAGATACCTAGGATCTCCAGGAATGTTAATCTTCATGTAATATTAAAGCTTTTGAATAGGAACCCTGTATATTGATATCAATAAATATACTTATTAAGTACTACTTTCAGCTCAAGAACCAAATGTTTCTTTTTCTGGAATGAAATCCCAAGAAGAAAAAGATGTTAGCAAAAGACATTATTCATGAACAGCATGTGTTTCCCATATATGCTTCAAAAGTGCTAGCAAAATTTGTGACATGCAGTGCTAGATTGTC